AAAATGGCGTCCTGACTTTCCGGAAATAATCAATAATTAGTTCATCCCTGCTTCCATAGATATATCGAAAAGATATTACATTTCGTTTATGCTTTTACAGCATAAAAACGAATTAAAATTTGATAACATCAAATGTTTTCTTTTTTTAAATATATTGTAGTATTTAATAGTTATTTATGTAACAAGTGCAAAAAGTAAGTATTTATTGCACGCGACGTGAGTTTGACAACACTTCGAGTGCAATAAACACTTTTTGCACGAGTTGCATACAATATTTTTTCTACGTTCATGCAAAAACCAAAGAATGTTTTATAGAACTGCAGTTGTATTATCCAAATCATAGTAGCCGTGATCGTGCACCTTTGTTTGAGGCATTTATTTACGTTTGTGTTCATAATTTGTAATGATATTTTTAATAAAATACATTTTTTTATTAATTTATTTAATGAATGATTGAAAATAATATAAAATATGCAATTGTTTTTAAAACGTAACACAGAAAATGAAAATTGACTAAATATTTGGCATTGATTTGAATATTTATGTTTGTTATGATCATAAAACGCTGTAGTAAAATGACAGATGAGGGCAATAAAATTTTTATTGCACTGGTGCAATAAAGAACCAGTTTTTTCACTAAATATAGTTCAATAAAGTTTTGTTTTTTGCATGAACGTAGAAAAAAAAATAATTACACTAAAACGAGTTAATGAAATGACAAAAAGAACCTAGAATGTTTGATAATATTTTACAGTCGAGCAATGATCGCCTGGTTAAATTTGGTTACGTTGTTGAGTGATGATATTTAGATGAGCAGCTGGGTTTAGATACGAGGGTTTTAAAAATAAGTTAAATTTTAATAATAAATACGATGTAATTTTTGAATATTTTAACTATAGAGAAATTTATATTACAGTATCGAAAATGAATCGAGTTACTATTATAAGCAGATACAACAGCGATAGCAACAATAGTAGTCTTTTTATGTTGTGGTAGTTAAGATTCGGTATCGACGAAGAGTTAATGCATTAATCACTCTATTCATTTTCGTTCCTGTGGTATATAGATATTATAATAGAGATAAAATAGAAACACCTATAAATTAGATTACTTGCTTCTGAAAAAATAATCCCGATAGGATAGTTTATAAACCTATTATTTTTTTACTTTCCTATCCTAGCGGGATTGTGTATGAATAAATAACAAAAATTTACATTAACGATATAAAAAAGATAATCTTCACGTAGGTAACTTCATAATCGAATGTGTTAAAATTTTAAAGTGTTGAAAATAAATGAAACCTTTATAAATATACACCTTTAATAAAAGTACCACTTTTTAGTTTTAATGAGTTAAATATATAGAATTTCAAAACAAATCAAAATAAATTAGATATACAATATTAGCTGATTAGCTAGGTACTTGTATTTTACGAAATTTTGTATAAATAAGTAAATTAAATAAAATCAAAAAACTTAAAACAACATTTTTTTTATTAATTTTAACCCTTCGTTAGTGTTCTGGGGTATATCATACCCCATCACGTCTATTTACTGCTATAAAACTAAAATTGGAACATCTAGAGACATCTAGCGGCTAGTAGTTTAGTTCATATATATAGCGATTGAACGCGCCCACAGTAACGTCTTTCTGAACCTTCAGTACGAAATCAGATTTTCGCGAAGATGGTTAGGGTATGTTATACCCCGGAACACTATTTACGTAATTTTTTGTGTACAGCAGTTGGAATGGTAAGTAATAAAGTTTTTATTTTATTCTCATAGTTTGCTTGCATATTTTAGCAAAATGTCCTACGAAAAAAGAGCAACGACGCGACAGCTTAAGATGCTATGGGACAAGTTTGAAGGTATCGGCGATGATGAACCTGTTATAAGCAGTGATTCTGAAGAAGAAGAAAAGCTGAAAATAAACAGAGTAGAAGCGGCAGAAGAGGAAGTGGAAGAATTGCGAAGGGAACCGGAAATAAATAGGGAAGAAGAGTCAGAAGAAGAAATGGAAGTTTTGTCTAATTTAGAAAATGATGGATTTGAAAATAATGGAAAATATTTGATGCATAAAAATAAATCAAAATGGTCAAAACTTCCCTACAATCGAAACGTAAGGACAAGATCGGAAAACATTATAACTGACTTACCCGGCGTGAAAGGCATCGCAAGGGAAAAAATTACACCTCTTGATTGTTGGCTACTATTTTTTACAGACGAGGTACTAGATGACATTGTTCGGTTTAAAAAATGTAAAATTGGCTACCAAAGCACCTTATTATCATAACAGGCATCAGTACTTAGTAAAACCCACTAATAAAGCTGAAATCAAAGCAGTTATTGGTCTGCTTTATTTGACAGGACTATATAAGGCAAATCACCAATCGCCAAAACACGGCGGATCTTTGGAACACCGATAGAAGTGGGATTGATTTGTTTCGTACAACAATGTCACAACAAAGTTACTATATTTTACTACAGTCACTGCGATTTGATAATATCAATAATAGAGCTAAACGCAAACAGATTGATAAATTGGCAGCTATTCGAGACGTATTCGAACATTTCGTTGAAAACTGTAAATTGCATTACATACCGGGTGAAAACCTCACTATTGATGAAAAGTTGGAACCATTCAGAGGGCGGGTATCATTCCTTCAATATATCCCCAACAAGCCTGCTAAATATGGGCTAAAAGTGTTTGCTCTTGTTGACGCGAAAACGTTTTACTGTCTTAGCATGGAGGTGTACGTCGGAAGACAACCAGATGGCCCCTTTCAAATGAGTAACACCCCACAAAATATTGTTAAACGTCTTATTGAGCCAGTGTCAGGCAAAAAACGAAACATTACTGTCGACAATTGGTTTACCAGCTACCCATTGATGATCAATCTGCTCAAAACTCACCAGCTTACATCAATTGGGACAATCAAGAAAAATAAGCGTGAAATACCTGTAGGTCTCCTAAACGTACGCAATAGACAACCAGCTAGTTCAGTGTTTGCCTTCAAAGAAGATATTACAGCGTTGTCATATGTTCCAAAGAAATCTAAAAATGTCATTCTGTTTTCAACTTTGCATCACGACAATAAGATTGTTTTAGAATCTGGTAATAAACAAATACCAGAAATCATCGATTTTTATAATTCTACAGAGGGTGGAGTTAATACCTTGGAAGAAATATCTGCTAATTGCTACTCTATTTTTCTCTTTTTTGAATACTAACGGAGTAAATGCTCGGGTAATATATAAAGCAAATACAAAAAATCACAACTTGAAAAGATGAGCATTTTTGAAAGAACTTGGCATGCAGTTGATATCAGAGTTCAGAGGTCAGCGAAGACAAATCCCCTGTTTACGTAGAGGACTGCGAGATGCCCTGCAAGCTTATCGTCATGAACCTGCTGCAAAACGACGTAATACAAGTAGTAGATGTTCAGTTTGTCCAAGAAACAAGGATATAAATACATTCTATGTTTGTATGCAGTGTGACGTCCCATTGTGCATAAAGCATGCGTTTTTCAGCTGTGAAACTTGTGCCATATTTGAGGCCCCATAACTTTTTGAATTCTACTGATACTGGTTTGATTCAAGTTGTACCATATTTTTTAGATATTTGTCAAAAACAATTTTTAGTTCAGTATTGTAATTCTTGGTTTTGTAGTTTTTTATTTAAAATATAGTTGCTCTTCTTTTTTTGCAAGACAGAATTGATGTTCCATGATGGTTTTTTAAATGTTAAAAATAAAAATTTATGTTACTCATATTTTTTGTTTTACTCGACATTATGACTAACTAAAATAATATGTTTAACATTTAAAATGAGGAAATTTGAAAACATCTGCATTTTATTTGAATTTTCTTTTTGGGGTATGATATATCCCAGAATACCTGCTATGCATTTTTTTATGGTACACTAACGAAGGGTTAAAATGATAATACATAATTTATTTACTCTTCGGCGGATCTCTGCACTTTAATTTTCTACCTCTTCTATTCAAAACTATTTCCGGGCCCACATAATTCTCATAAAAAACTCTCAGTTTCTACATTAGACTAAAAACAAAATCATCAAAATATATTTTTTCAATGAAAAGAGGATTCTCATCTCCTATATAAACTGTAAAATGGCACATTCTTCTTCGTGAGATACCGAGTTGTCCTTGAATCTAAAAACATAATAATTTTTAATTTGTTAGAAAATATAGCTTTTATTAAATTACTTTGAAATGTAGTCAGAAATCTCACCTGATAATAGTAATTGTGATTTTTCTTTAAATGAATTTCAATTCTTAAACAGGAACCTTTTTTTTCTCTACGGCCTCTCTCAATGAAAGATTAGATGTGGCTACTTTTAAAAAACATTTAACATTTAACCATCAGAATTAATTAAATCTAAAAGAAAAAGTTAATTAAACTATTGTTATAATACATAAATAATTATCGCTTACCATCAAGTGATGCACCTAGGGACCCATATTGCACATCACCAAATAACCCTGATGGTATAACTGTTTTACCAGTTTCTTCTTGAAATTTATTTATAGCCACACCTTCTTTTTGGATGCCGTAATCAATTGCTGGGTTAGTTATTTCTTGTTTGTCTGTCAAGATTTTTTTTACCAAACAATCGCAAGGAGTACGGGCCCTTCTTTTGCCAACTTACCCAAAATGTTAGCAGAAATCTTCTTTTCTCCAAGTATCTTGGGTTGCTGAATTGTCCTATAGTTTCTTCTGATATTTGTTGTTGTTGCTTACTCGTCACCTAAAAATATTTAGACATAAAATCATGTAAAAAGTAAAAACGTAATATTCATATTAATACCTTTAGTCGGTCAATTAATTTATTAACTTCTTTAAGACATTCATCACTGATGTATACCTCTGCCATATTAGATCCGTACTCCGTTGTTTCTCATGGTTTTGGTTTTTTTATAGCCTTACTTTTTCTAACAGTAAGTTTTCTTTTAATTTTGTCACGCTTCTCATTATTCACCCATTTTCTTGGAAAATGGGGTGCTTCTATATTAAAGCATTGCTTTCAAATTTTGATGTACCAATTAACTCCATTATTGTAACGAAGAGCGCTCAAAACACACCTACTTTGGAAACCGTTCCTTTGAATGATATTTAATCCTTTTCCCATATTGAAACGAGCAATAATATTCGTAAATGATTCTGCTTTATTGGTTGTTCTGTTGGCTAAAAGAAGGTGTGCTTTTGTTAAAAGTAAATTTAATGCAGTGTATATATGGTGGTGAGCTCCTGATGATGTGAATTCGGAATGTTTGTTAATATCGTTGTTAACATCGCAAATTTCTCTTTGGCAGTTAACATGATTACATAAAACATGTGTTATACTATTTCCTAAATCTTGTTTAAGTTGTGCAACGCTTCCATCTTTATAAGTGTAAATCGCGAATTGTGCTGCCTTTACCAATTTTTGTAAGATATCACCTGTTAAATATTTCCTTACCTTTAAAGAAACGGTCCAGGTGTTGTTCTTTATGTTATAAAGATGTTTGCTATAATTTTTAATGCAATGATTTGTGCATTCCGACTTCGTTACCTGAAATTAAAAATATAATAACGTAAACTGGTTTAACAGATATTAAAATGTGTACCTACCTCTACACGGAAAAATTGTTTATTATCCACCACTCACTATGAAATAGAAATATTCAAGAATCAACTCTTTTTTTTATACAACTCCCCCTACTACCTTTTAACGTAATGGAAATAAATCAAAATATTAAAAATTTAATCTTTTGTTACTGTGATGTTCATAATTATTTTCTCTAATAAGAATGAAACTCACTTTTCTTAGAATGCAGGTAGTCAAAATTAAATTATTTTTATTTCTTAATACTTTAATAAGATATATAACCTTAATCTATGAACATTATAATAAGTTTTTACTGTAACTGGGGCGAAGGATCAGGAAAATACTACTTTAATATTTTAACTAGGTATTTATTCATCGCTCCAAACAGTACAATTTACAATGATCGTATTATAATAATTTTGGCAATATCGAGGCCGAATGTTCGAAACCTTATCAATTCAAACCAACAAAAAATTAAAGATATAAAATAACAAGAATATACAGGGAGGTACATACATAAATATATTGCACTCTCCCGGCTCTAAATTACTAACTACCGGCATGCACCAATTTTTTTACTGAATTCTTTACTAAATTAACTACTAAATTCTTTATTGAATTCTATACTGAATTCTTTACTGAATTCTTTACAATTCAGTAAATTAACCAAAGAATGTAAGTTTATTTTACTCTCTTCTTCACGATAGGACATATATAGCGAATATGGATAATATAATATTTACTGAATTCTTTACTAAATTCGTTATTGCATTCTTAACTGAATTATTTCGTGAATTATTTACTGAATTATTTACTGAATTATTTACTGAATTATTTACTGAATTATTTACTGAATTATTTACTGAATTATTTACTGAATTATTTACTGAATTATTTACTGAATTATTTACTGAATTATTTACTGAATTATTTACTGAATTATTTACTGAATTATTTACTGAATTATTTACTGAATTATTTACTGAATTATTTACTAAATTATTTACTGAATTATTTACTGAATTATTTACTGAATTATTTACTGAATTCTTTACTGAATCCTTACCTGAATTCTTTACTTATATCTTTACTAAATTCTTTACTTGAATTATTTACTGAAATATTTACTAAATTCTTTACTGAATTATTCACTGAATTTTTTACTGAATTCTTTACTGAATTCTTGACTGAATTCTTGACTGAATTCTTTACTGAATTCTTTACTGAATGCTTTATTGAATTCTTTACTAATTTTTTTACTGAATTCTTTACTGACTTTTATTACTGAATTCTTTAATGAATTATTTACTTAATCCTTTACTAAATCCTTTACTGAATTCTTTATTAAATTATTATTTGTTATTGTAAATGTGTAACTATGATGAATAAAGACCATTTATTATTATTATTATTATTATTATTATTATTATTAACTACTAAATTCTTTAATGAATTCTTTACTGAATTATTTAGTTATATCTTTACTAAATTCTTTACTTGAATTATTTACTGAAATATTTACTGAATTCTTTACTGAATTATTTTCTGAATTATTTACTGAAATTTTACTGGATTCTTTACTGAATTCTTTACTGAATTCTTTACTGAAATATTTACTGAATTTTTTACTGAATTTTTTACTGAATTTTTTACTGAATTCTTTACTGAATTCTTTACTGAATTCTTTACTGAATTCTGTACTAAATTATTTACTGAATGCTTTATTGAATTCTTTACTATTTTTTTTACTGAATTCTTTAATGAATTCTTTACTTATTCCTTTACTAAATCCTTTACTAAATCCTTTACTAAATCCTTTACTAAATCCTTTACTAAATCCTTTACTAAATCCTTTACTAAATCCTTTACTAAATCCTTTACTAAATCCTTTACTAAATCCTTTACTAAATCCTTTACTAAATCCTTTACTAAATCCTTTACTAAATCCTTTACTAAATCCTTTACTAAATCCTTTACTAAATCCTTTACTAAATCCTTTACTAAATCCTTTACTAAATCCTTTACTAAATCCTTTACTAAATCCTTTACTAAATCCTTTACTAAATCCTTTACTAAATCCTTTACTAAATCCTTTACTAAATCCTTTACTAAATCCTTTACTAAATCCTTTACTAAATCCTTTACTAAATCCTTTACTAAATCCTTTACTAAATCCTTTACTAAATCCTTTACTAAATCCTTTACTAAATCCTTTACTAAATCCTTTACTAAATCCTTTACTAAATCCTTTACTAAATCCTTTACTAAATCCTTTACTAAATCCTTTACTAAATCCTTTACTAAATCCTTTACTAAATCCTTTACTAAATCCTTTACTAAATCCTTTACTAAATCCTTTACTAAATCCTTTACTAAATCCTTTACTAAATCCTTTACTGAATTATTTATTAAATTAACTACTAAATTCTTTATTGAATTCTATACTAAATTCTTTACTGAATTCTTTACTACATTCTTTACTGAATTATTTACTAAATTCTTTACTGAATTATTAACTGAATTCTTTACCGAATTCTTTACCGAATTCTTTACTGAATTCTTTACTGAATTCTTTACTGATTTTTACTGAATTCTATACTGAATTCTTTATTAAATTATTTACTAAATTCTTTACTTAATTCTTTACTGAATTCTTTACTGAATTATTTACTGAATTATTTACTGAATTCTTTACTGAATTCTTTACTAAATTCTTTACTGAATTAAATACTCAATTATTTACTAAATTCATTACTGAATTATTTACTTAATTCATTACTGAATTATTTACTTAATTCATTACAGAATTCTTTATTGAATTTTTTACTGAATGTAATTCTAAATTCTTTACTGAATTCTTCACTAAATTTTTATTGAATCGCAAACTAAAAGGAGTGGGCTTACTTGTTTATTAACATAAAAATTGAAGGCGTATACTATATTTTTAAATGAAATATTTTTGTTTTTTTTTTTTTTAATTATTTAATTCTACTTTCAATAGATTTTTCAATCAAATTTTAATGAAATCCATTGTGGCCTTAAAATATTAAATATCTATTGGTTTACTGAAAACAATGTTTATAATTTAGAAAAATAAAGATGTTTACACGATAGGTTACTGTCTTAGTTATACATTTTATAAAAAATGTGCTAAATTTGAAATAAATAAAATTTCTGTGACATTATTTAAAATTAGTATTTTTCAAAAAAAAAAATAAATAAATAAATAATAATTGACACATCATTTATATTATTACATTACCTATTTCCGTTAGTATTTCCTAGAATTTATTATAATTTTAATCTAATGAAAATTCTCCAAATCCAAAATTATAGAAAATTCAAAGAATATTAATTGGAAAACTAGATCCAATTAATGAAAACAAAAAGTTTATTTAGTGACCTAACTTAATTGGGGAACATTTTGGTAAATACACGTGTGGTAATTAAAGTTGCATGTCCGTAATTACTATTTATGTTTGTTTTAAATTTGACGGTTTATTCTCTCTATTTTTTTGTCAGAAGGATATAATATATAAAAGCTTTTGAAGTTGAAGGAAACTTGATAAAATACCAATCTTTACAGTACCCGATGTTCTAAAATCACAATAAATTTAAGCTTATTCTATTATTTTTATCTACTGTATGTCACACGTAAGTATACAGATTTGGTTGAATGGAATAAGAGTTACCTATTAAGAGGGACAATATTGCATTAGTTATATAATTAATTAATATTTAAATATTTGTTATAGTTACGGTAGTAAAAGTAGAAGAGGTACTAGCACTAGCTGGGGATATTTCGTGTACTTTGAGGCGTGATTTTTTAAATTTTGCATATGAAATATATGTATACATTTTATATAAAAGAAAAAAAAGTAGTTAAAAGTAATACAATAAGCACTTCTACAAAAGGGCCACCAAGTACTAGAGGGACCACTATATAAACTATTTCGAGCTAGCAGCGCCATCGTAAATGGTCCACAAAACTAAAGGTGTGCAAGAGTTGTCTTTGTTGAGACCAAATCTTTCAGACCAATCAGCCTAACATCATTTTTCCTAAAAACATTGGAGAAATTGATAGATAGATAAATACGGGACGATGTTTTACGGGATAAACCGATACATCGATACCAGTTTGCCTACCAAGTCTTGCGATGCAGCCATACATAGGCTAACTCAACAGGCGAAACAAGCACTGGAAAGCAAAAAAATAGCACTGGGAGTCTTCCTAGATATAAAAGGAGCCTTTGATTCATCTTCATACAATTCCATACTGGGATTTATGCACGGGCGTGGAGTAGCCCACTGCATTACGAAGTGGGTTGAGTTCTAGCTTAATCATTGAACCATTACTAGTAATCTCCTTAACACAACAAGAGATGTCTCAGTTAACAAGGGATGCCCGCAGGGAGGAACGTTTTCTCCTCTTATGTGGACCTTGGTGGTTTATGACCTCTTATGGGAGTCAAAGAGAGAAAACTTTTACACGCAAGAATTTGCAGACGATATAAGCATCGTAGAAAACGGTAAATTTGAGTCTGTTATATCTGACAGGATGCAGCTGGCACTAAATATCGTCATAAGATGCCTAAAAGAGGGATTGTCCACAAACCCGACAAAAACCTTTGTTATTGCATTCACAAGAAAAAGAAACCTTCAAGAAATGAAGGAGCTTTATATGTGGGCAAAAGAGGTTAAATATCTTGGAATCACTCTTGACGACAAGCTTAGCTTTCGCAGCCATATAGAAAAAAACAACAGAAAAAGCTGTAAGAATACTATGGGCCTGTAGACGGATGGTAGGGAACATATAGGGGCTTAATTCAAGTATGAATCACTGGCTTTCACTATGGTTGTAGTACCTGTTATATCTTACTCATCAGTCATATGGTGGCAAAATACTAAAAGCATAACAGCTAACAGAAAATCAGACAAGGTACAAAGGCTTTTTTTTATGGGGTGGAATTTTTTTACGGACACCAGGCATAGGTTCCTTCTTTCCCTGGTAGTGTGATGGACTCCTGACTTAGTGTGCAAGTCCACTATACTACCTTCTGCTCTATAGGTACCGGAACTGTCCTCTAGAGGATATTACTTCATGTACCTGCTGCGGTCTTTTATTTTCAATTCTGTCTTGCTTTGTACTCCCATTCTTCCTTCCCTTTCTCGGTAATTAACCTCGCTTTTATTATAGAATCAGACTACCATTTCTCCTTACTCTTTATGAGCTTTTCTTTATTATTCTCCGAAGTAAACGGAGGTTCTAGAGTGGATTCAAGTGCCCTTCTTTCCTGCTGACTCTAAGGCACTGAAAAATGTGTGCTTCACCGAGTCTACTCATTGACAGTATCTACACCGATTATTATTTAAGATTTTAAAGCTAAATATGTATTCGCCATAAGAACCATTTCCCGATAGAAATTGCGAAATGCAGTAGTTTGTGTTTCTGTATGAACATTTTGGCCACTGGTCAATATTAGGAATTAGCATTTTTGTCCAGATTACCTTCGGGTTATTTGCAGCCCATATGTCCTGCCACATTCTTATGCTTTCTATTCTTTCTGTGTTCCTTATCACACTTGTTGGTTCTCTGTTGTATAGCCTTCCCCTTTCATTTACCAGAAAATCAATAGGGATGCATCCCAAATATTTGACTTCGTTGCTTGGGCTGATTGTTCTGCCTCCTAGTTGAAATTCTATTCCCGTCCTGTTTCTTTTTCTTCTGACCACGACCGCTTCTGTTTTTTCTGGGGCCAAAGTAATATCCATTCTTCAATACGTCTTATAATATAGGGGGCATTTAGAACTACGCCCACAGCAGCAATGGAGCTACTGCTAGTTCTTCCTCCACTACATCTTGTAGTGGAGAAGGAGGCTATGGCGGCAGCATACAGACTGTTTACTAATAGATTTGGATGGGAACTTTCGAGAAAAGGACACCGCATAATGATAATAGAGAAATTAAAATAAAATTCGTTACCAAGAATGCCATCGGATAGAACGCCCATTACTCACGACATCTGGAAACCTTTTGATATTCAAACACCAGAAAGGGCCAAAATCCGGGAAAATAGGGAAGAACAAAATGAATTAATCTAGTATACAGACGGCTGGGGATCACAGGAGCTGGGATCTACCATGTGAACTCAGGGAGGGCCATTAGTCTGAACCCGGGGTCACTGACAACACTCTTCTAGGCTTAAGTAACAGCAATAAATGCCTGCGCCAAAGTCATGCTAAATGACACTTTTAGAGATAAGAGGGTCTTTATCATGGCAGATAGTCAGGCAGCCCTTAAAGCCCTGAAAAGGGTAGAAGTACAATCTAAATCAATACTTGATTGCCAACAGTCCCTTCAGGCCCTGGCAAAACATAACAAGGTCACCCTTGAATGGGTGCCGGTACATGAGGAAGTGTTTGTAAACGAGAAAGCAGACCTTCTAGCAAGGAAGGAAGCGGAAAAAACTCTTATTGGACCAGAACCCACATGTAGTATCTCATACCAACATATTAAAATGATGTTAAAGAGACCAATAAATAGAGAACACCATAGGCTCTGGTTGGAACTTCCTGGACTTAGATAGTCCAAAAGATTCATAGAGGGGTCATCCACGAGTAGACAAAATCAACTGCTAAACCTTAGCAGAAGTGAACTCAAGGCCGTAATAGGACTCCTTACGAGACACTGCGGCCGTAGAAGACACCTAAATATCTTAGAAATATTTGATGACAACCCTATGTAGAATATGTGAAGAGAAGGACGAAACTCCTATTCACATTCTATGCCATTGTCGGAACCTTAAATGGGAACGGGAATGGTACTTCGGGGTTCAATATCCGGAATCTGAAGAAATCGCGAAAGCACCCATCAGACATATTCTTGAATTCATCAAGAAAATCAATCTGATGGAATAGAAACTGTAAGGGGTACAATAAGCCTAGAGCTTTAGTACGAGTGGGCTTTAAACCACGCCCTAATTCAGATAGATAGAATACAATGAGCCCCCGGAGTTGCTGTGTTGTAAATTGTGAAAATACTAGCAAAAAAATTAGTGTAAATTTAATTAATGTTCAGTAGAAAAATGAAAATTAAATCAAAGAAATAAACTGCAGTAAGAAGGAAAAAGTAATTACAAACTTTAATTTTTTTAACAACAGTATTTAATACTATCTATCTATCTAATAATTGAAAATAGTAGATATCAAAAAATGAAAGATTTTATACACTTAAATATTATTTTACGATGTTATTCAAAATTCATGATAACAAAGATATAATATTTTTGCCTTTTATTATTTTCTGGAATGCAATGCAATTTTGTGACAGATTGATTGGAAAACGGGTATTTAATAATTAATATTTGCATGTTTTCTTTCAAGCTAAAAAGAGGTTGCATTTAGAGTTCACATAACTAACTACAGTGAGGTTAATATCTTCTCTCATTACAAACTTGTCAATTGTTTTAGGTTGTCTGTTGACGAGGTGTAAGTTTTGATTTATGGAGAGCTCTTTTTAGCAAGTCAGCCAACTGAAATTCTAAAGTTTTTTTCCTTAACTTTGTATTCAGCTGCACTTAATACGGTTGTCATAATATTAAATTTATTACTCATTTATCGCATCCATCCATTGACACGACTCCATTGCATTTCATTGGACTGTTTCGCTTAAAATAGTTTATTCCAAACTTATTTAATACTCTAAGTAATTTAATATTCAATGACTTTTCTTCAGATCCTTGGAACTATTATATGAAAAGTAATCCGAGAAAAGTTTCGCATGCCTGGAAACTAGACTTAGAATGATCTGGAGTAATGAGAAAGTCAATACTTATTCATTACGACCCCAAAAATTCATATTCATGTTTCTTAGTGAGTAATTATTCAAAATTTACTTTGGAATATGGAACTCTTACCCTAAAGTGGATTTAAGACGGCTGCTATAATATACAAAATGTTAAGCATATAACAATAGCATAATTTCAATTTAATTTTTTGTTATTAACAAAATGAAATTATTCTTTTTAAATTATAGTGGTTATATAAGGCGCATCCTCCAAAATATTAAATATGGTTAACTTATTTTAAAATTTTGGTGTTTACTTATTACATCAACTAATGACAATCCTTTTTTTTAACACAAGCCAATCAAAACAAACCGTATTTGAAAACATTGCCAAGGTAACATATTATCATTGATTTATGCAAAACGTCAATGTGCAGTTTGTCCCACATACATATATACTTGAACTAGGCAGAATGTTTATTGCAAACTTCATTGAAATTTAGGGATTTTATTTTATTTTATAATTATATTTTATTGTGTTCCAATTTAAATATTTTCTACTGTCTAGTCTTTCTGTATCTAATACATTAATGTTTCACTGTAAAGAGACATTGTTTTATATTATTATTATTATTATTATTACATAGTTTTTATTATATTTTTTACCTGCAACAAGTTGCGACTTTGCAGGATTTCGTAGTTTATTGATCAGCTTCCATTTTTATTTTGTTGTATAATTTTTTATATGTATGAATAAACTCTATTATTATTATTATTATTATTATTATTATTATTATTATTATTATTATTATTATTATTATTATTATTATTATTATTATTATTATTATTATTATTATTATTATTATTATTAATTATTATTATTATTATTATTATTATTATTATTATTATTATTACTTCGATTTTCTCTTAGTATACGGAGAATGGTCGCACTGCGCAGCTTTCTGAGTGCCTTTTAAAAGGAGATAGAAAACTTTGCCATTTTGAACACTTATTACGTGTTCCCTACATCTTGGGGTATTAGTTTTAGTGGTTATGTTATAATATTTGCCCAAAGATGTTATTTACGAATCTACACTTTACAAAACCATTAACAAATAATGAATATTTTGAAAACCTTGCTTTACTTGGTGATTTTTTGTTAAACCTTTTAATGTGTAAGTAACAGTAACTACTTTATTTATGTTTCTATTGTTTTATTCTAAATGCTTTTTATTTTTTAGGTCACCTCAAGGTCACCTCTAGGTCACCTCTAGGTCACCTCCAGGTCACCTCTAGGTCACCTCCAGGTCACCTTTAGGTCACCTCTTAATGGGTTACACAGATGAAACATTTTAAATTAGTTTTATGTATTTGAACAGTATGTTCTGTTTATTTAGTCGTATTAATGTTTGGTTTATATATGATAAAAAAATTTAAATTATTTTAATAATAGATCAAAAAGTATCGTAGAGCCAATGAATATTAGCAAAATTCTGATCAAATAGAAAACCAATTCGAAAATTCATTTAATAACCAATATAATAACGATGAATACCAGTTCCAGGCAAAAATTGATTTCTCAACATTTAACACAACTAAGGACAATAACAATTTTTATGAGAAACGAGAAATTAGAAATTAACACAAATGTAATACGTCCGTCTTATAATACTTTTCATAATAAAGTTTAAAATTTTTGTGTGGGAACTCTAACACAAGTTAAACATGTAACTAATCCGACCATAATTGTTTAACATCTATATTAATGATATTAAAAACTGTTTCACCTTCTCAAATTTTTTAATGTATCCCGATGACGTGAAAGTGTTCCATAGTGTAACAAATCCTTCAGACTGCCTACTAATACAAAATGACCTTAATAACCTATTTTTATATTGTATTGACAATTGTCTCTATCTTAACTTCAATATTTTGCAAAATTATTGCTTAAATAACAACCCACTCAATAGAGTATCTCTTATCAAAGATCTCGGCATATTTTATGACCCTAAATTATTATTTGAACATCATGTTAACTATATTACCGAAAAAGCGCGCAAAATTCTTGGCTTCAATATCAGAACTTGAAAAGATTTTAGAAAACCAGATACCATCCGTGTCCTGTACATGGCTTATATTAACAGTATATTAAGTTTTGGGTCCATTATTTGGAACCCTCAATATAACGTGTATATTCACAAAATTGAATCTGTACAGGATAAATTCGTAAAATATTTAGGTCACAAATTTTACCCACCACATTGTAATAATTTAGCATATCTAAAACGCAACTTAAAGCTTATAACATTAGTAGATAGAAGGCAGATGTTCGACATCAAATTTCTTTATAAAATTTTTAATAATTTAATTGACTCTATTGAAATTGTAAAATTTATGCACATTAGTATCCCCTCTCATAACACCAGGAGTAAATTGTTACTTTATATTGATCACAGTAATACTAATTACCATCTTAACTCTCCTGTTCTCCGTTGCTGTAAATCTTTCAATGAAATCGCAAATCTAGTTGACATCCATATATTTTTTTCTTCCCTAATAACCTCTTCTAAAACACTCAATAATTTTTACTTAAACAATTTATAATAATAATAATATTAATTTTTTCTTTAACTGTTTAAAATTTGTACATTGTTAAATAATATATCTTACTGTATTTTATCTGTAAACGTTTAACTTTATATCTTACTAGCTATAAGTGAATACTGTTTTTGGGTTCGTCCTATTTTGTATTCCAACTAAATAAATAAATAAAATAAATAAATAAATAAATAATGAGATTAAATTTACCCTATATTTTTATTCCAGAAATAAACGCAGTAGCAGAAGTAAAATAAACATACATTTTATAAAAAATATATTTTTAACGAAGATTTTTAAATACAAACAGTGCATAATATAAGTCGTCATAACGAAGTAATTAAAATTTTTGTTTTTAGCATCTTTAATGTAGAAGAAGAACAAACAT